GTATTTTTCGGGGTGGGGGGGGGGAGGTTCAGCTAATAAAAGCTTAGTTACAGATTGTTTAAAAAAAAGGTTGTGCTTCAAGGAGATTCCAAGGGTATCACGGATCTAGTAAGTGTACCTAAAACTCTGCCTGACATTTCTGGAGCATCAAAAATCACCATTACCTTAAAGATCAAGCATAAGTCCTTAAACTTAACGTGCACCTGTAAATCTCCACGAGAGGTCCTAAACATAATAAAAACACTACTACTACCTTCAAACAAAGCTAAATCCTCAAACTCAAAGTGTACCTAAAATTCTTCTTGACAGTTCTGGAGTATCAAAGACTACAACGACAAAAAAGAAAGGGGATGATCCTCAAACTCGAGTTGAAGTGTATCTTAAAATTTTGCCTGACAGTTCAAGAGGATCAAAGAACACTTATTACTATTTTAAAAAGCAAGTATGAAATACTCAAAGTATACCTGAAGATCTGTCCGAAGGGTCCTGAACATCAAAGAAAACTACTACCTACTACAAACAAGAAAAAATACTCAAAGTGTACCTGAAGATCTGTCCGAAGGGTCCGGAGCGGACACTGTCCATGGTGCCGGGCTCCAGGTCCACCAGTACAGCCCTGGGCACATACTTGCCTCCTGTGGCCTCGTTGTAGTAGACGTTGATCCTCTCCAGCTGGAGGTCGGAGTCGCCGTGGTATGTCCCTGTTGGGTCGATGCCATGCTCGTCTGAGATCACTTCCCAGAACTATTCGACGATACAAAGAGTGAAAGAGAAAAGAAGAAGTTATTTTTCTTCGTTCATTTTAAGACCATTTACGGAAGTTACAAGCACAAAGAAGAGTGGAAAAATACCAACAAACAAATAGAACAAACAAACATAAGAAACTTTTTTCTCATAAGATACTTTTGTAAACTGGGATAACAACTTGTAAGTTACCCTGCTCTAACCGCTACCAGTCCAAGATAATCACCTGTACGAACAACCACTTCTTACCCCCCCCCCCCCCCCCACCTTTGCGTTTTCACTACTTTTTTAGAATTAATATGTTGACACTATCCAATACATATATCTGTGTAACACAACAACTTTCCTCATCTTCCATGGGTGGCTATCTTGGACAATTTTACTGCAAATTATCATACATCCTACAATTGCAGAAGAGTCACCATTTGTTTTTAGAAAAGCCACACCCTTGCACGGCACTGTTTTGAAGCAGGGTTCATCAATAATTAATTTGAGATGAGACACACCTTTGTGCTCACCTGTACGGAAACCGCCTCATCGATGTTGCTTTATACTTAACATCCTGTCTAAACATGTGCCGGAGAGAAACAGAGAGAGAGAGAGAGA